TTTACCTGTTTGCTTTCCTGATTAACTTTGCCTACACGGAAGGCTGTTTTGTTCTTTCACCAGTGTCTTTCTCACACATGCACACTCGTCCACCAAGGTTGCGCACGGCCTGAAGGAACTCCTTCCAGTACCGAAGACCACCCAGCAACCGAGTTGGCAGTTCCATCGAGCGTGCCACGCCTTCCAAGAACTCCCCAAGACTCAATTAGCAACACTCACGGATCGGTGCGGATCAGCCGTCTCTTGCCCAGCCGCCCTCCTTTTGCTTGCTGACAGCATCCTCTCTTCACCTGAGTGGAAACTGATCTCCAAACGAGGATTATAGTGCCCAGTTTTCCCCAATCAAGTGGCTCTCGAAAGGAGCAGGTGCTGGATGGAGTGAACCCTTCCTGTTTCCCCACCTGGGTTGTGTGTCCTAATCTGAGGATGGGTCTGGTCGGGGCTACAGAATCGAGGGACATTTTGGCATTTCCTTCCTGGATTTGGCTGGGCTCCTGGTAGAAATGGCTTGCTGGTAGCAGCACCGCGGGATCCGCAACTGCCTCAGAGGGGTGTGCTCGGTCCGAAATGTAGGAGGCCGTTTGACGGAAGGGCCGTCACGTTCGGCTTGGCGACTTTTGGATTACAACCTCAGGATGGCTTGTGCAGGGTTATGTCCTTCCAGCTGAAACAGGGGGTCCCTCGTGCCTGCTCGGTGGAGAATGGCAGCCCCTGAGGACACTTAGCCAGCTGCCATCTTGGGAACCGGCAGGCAGAGGCTTCTGTGCGCCCCGCAGCAGCTGCCCTGGATCTCCCCGCGGGGGCCTGGGCCCCCGGCAGCAACATGACTGCTTGCCAGTATCCCCTGGGGCCTGGCTCCTTGGAGCGGGACCGGATGTACCAGCACAAGGTCTCCTTGGTGGTCCGATACTTCATGATCCCTTGCAACATATGCTTGATTCTCTTGGCCACGTCCACCCTGGGATTCGCAGTCCTGCTTTTCCTCAACAACTGTAGGTGTCTCTCTCAGCACGTGGCTGGGACAGTGGGGAAAGCGGCTGTGGACGGCGCTGGCAGGGGGTGGGGAGGCGGCAGGCCGGGAGGGTGTGGTGTTGGGGGGACTCGGCTAGTTCTCTCGCCTCGGCTTATCTGTCTCCAAGCTTTTGTAGCAGCCCGCCAGGGCACAGCGCCTTACACACGACAAAAGCATTCACAGACCCGTTGCAAGGAAGCACGCGCGCCGGCAGCTCATGGCTGTGGAGCACCGAGTGCAGACGGGAAGAAACATCTCCGGGGTGTTTCTTGTAAAAGCCAGTGGTGGCAAAAGCCACGGGGTGGGGCCACCACGGAGGAAGCCCACCCCTCGGCCCCTGCCACCTTCACGCCTCTTGCTGGTGAGCCAGCGAACGCGGCTCCGTCACTGAACTTAATGCGTGGGCAGGATTAGGCAGAAGGGTAAAAAGGGCCGTACGGACCGAGGAGATGGTGGCATTTGATTTCAGGAAAACCCTCAGGGATTCGAAAACCCCCAGAGCAGGGCCAGTGTGGTGCGGCGCTTAAAGTGTTCCACCAGGACCTGGGTGATCTGGATTCTAGTCCCTGAGGGTCCCTGTTGCACAACACTGGCTCACGGCCATACCTACCTCATAGGGTTGTGACAGACCAGAGAAGAGGGTTACCTAAACTACCTGGCAAATAGAAAGCTGTGCTCTCCAAAGAAAGGATAAAAACGGACTAAATAAATCCGATCCTTTGGGCAGCTCCTTCCCGCAAACCCTGACTGTTGGCGTAGGGACCGAAGCTCAGGGGCGCTGCAGGCCAAAACCTCTGGGAGGATGCCTTCCCCTGGAACGGCCAAAGCTGGCCTTGACGGAGTCCAGGGCTGACTTCCTGTGCTGTAGGGGAGCGGGAAGCTCTCCGGCATCTCCTGCTAAAAGGATTAGGTGGGAAGGAAAGGCTGTTCTCTGCCGGAGTCCGTGGGGAGCTGCTTCAGAGCAGATGAAGTTGTTCAGATGGGCAGACCCTTCTCTGATTACGAGACCACCGGAGGGCAGAGCGAAAAGCATCCCTGCTGTCGTCTCAAGTCCGCCGTCTTTCCGGCAACATTGGTGCTGCCGTGACTTGGAAGAGGTTGGGGCACGTTGGGGTCTGATCCAGCACAGCTCTTGCGCTTGGCCAGCCCCACCCAGGTTTTGCTAGGCGCTGCTGATCGCTGCCTCCTCCAGCCAGTTCAGCCCCGCTGGCTCCAGGGCAACATCTGGGAGCCCTAGTTACTTGGAAGAACTGAGGGAGGGGCTGTTGTCTTTACGTCCTGCTTCTGCCTTTGCAGAGCCTTGTGAGTTGCCGAGATGGGTGTGGAAGAGGGCGAGACTGAACGGAGCGCCGGCTGCGTCTGGGCGGGCTCTTTTTAGGCTCCCCTGAGCCCTGCTAGCTCGGAATGAACCTTTGTGTATAAAAGCAGTGCACCTGTAGGCAAAATTCCCTGGAGAAGACAATCCTGCTAGGGAAAGTTGAAGACAGAAGAAGAAAAAGGCAGACCGAATGCGAGATGGATGGACTCCGTCCAGGAAGCCACGGCCTGGAATTGGCCGGGGCCGAGCGGGGCTGCTTGGACCAGACGTTTCGGAGGGCACCCAGGCATGGGGTCACCCTGAGTCTGGGGTCTCGTCCATGCTCGGCCTCGGAGCCCACTGGGTGGCATTGGGCCAGTCTCAGACTCTCGGCCTAACCTACCTCACAGGGCTGTTGTTGTGAGGATAAGACTGAGAGGAAGAGGAGAATTCTGTAAGCCATCTTGAGTTCTTTGAAAGCAAAGAGGGCGAGATAGAAATATAATAAACAGAAGATAAAATAAAATTTCTCTGCAGGCAGCTTCTCCTTGCGTTTTGGCCTGGCCCTGGCCCAGGAGAGGCTTCGTGTGTGTCGTTTGGGGTGCGGGGGAGCCGTGCGGGGGCAGGTGCATGGGCTGTGCTGCTTGGGACAGCCGTTTTGGAAGGGGAGAGTGAGTGTCATGTGGGAAAAGCGGTGACCATCTTCTATTTTGGGAGAGCATTCTTCCTTCCTAAGCTGGGTGGGAGTATTCTCTGCGATGAGGACGGTAGCATTTGATCGCCACACTCTTTTCCCTCCACCCTATAGTTCCCTCCTGCAACCCATGGAAATGCTGCTCTTTGTGACCCTACCTGATTTTATCCTTGAGGGCTAGAAACTTGCACTGAAGAGATCTTTACCAGGCCTCTTGAATCATGGTTCAAACTGAACCCTAGCTAACAGAGGCCTAGTTTGTACACAACTACCACCCAGAGGATGGGTTGAGTTTGCTGAATCATGGGTTGTTGCTGAATCATGGGTTGTTATTACATGCAAGTCCTGCACTGTGGTTTCATGAAGAGTTGCTAACCACAAACGACCCAGGAAGAGGAGATAATTGTTTATTGCTGGGTTGCAAATTTCAGGTTGTTCGTGTTACTGTGCTCAGTTAAACCATAGTACAGGGGTCATGTGTAATGACAACCCACAATGCAACAACAAATCACTATTTCCTGGCAGTCCATACTCGGCTCCTGCTCTGAGTTGTCAGGATGTGCAAAATGGTTCACAGAAATCCAGCCTTGCTTTTTCCAGCAAATAACATGATGTTTCTGAACATTAACTTGGTTGTATATGAGGCATGTGCTGGATTAACGCAGCCTGTGAGTATCTGGATTCGGCATCATCCAATGTCCAGCTTATAAAATGAGCAGAATCAAGCCCTGAAACAGTTTCTGATTCACCGCTCCCGCTATTCGCACCTCCCCACACACAGAAAAGCCAGCATTCTCCGCAACGTGTTAGTTTTCCACCTACAGGGAGGTTTTTTTTAAAGGAATGATTTGAACATGCACCCTTCCCTTTGCTGTCTTTGCAATTTGTGTCCCAGAGATGACCCTGACTCCCCAGGATGAATAAAAGCCACTCTCATTTATTTATCTATCATCTCTCCTTTGTTCATTCATTTGTTCTGTAGCATATTTTGATGTGGGTGGAGTTGCTGTTGACTAGAAGCTTCTGTACCATTGTCCAGGATATGACACTTTCTACCCCCCAGCTCCCCCCCCCCCCCCCGCCCCACTCCCCTTAGTGGTTCACAGGCAGCGTCTTTCCAAACACAGGTCTCCAATCAGCTCAAATGGGCCTGATGGATTAGTGTCTGGGGAGGCCCTTTCACGATAGGTAATAAATAGTTTGATTTGCGTCGCAGCTGGGGTCAGGTGGGACCGTGATGGATTGACTCGCCCAAGGCAGCTGCTGTCAGATCCCATAATTCCCCTGGACCAGAAGAGATACATGTCCAGGGTTGCTTTGTGGACCCCACCAGCAGCTCCCCAAACCTCTTTGCAGAGGTTTTGTTCTCGGATTAGAACTGGAGGTGTGTGTGGCTTTGAAGGCCCACAAAACTTTGCTCTTAGTGTGGAGAGTAAAAACAACCTTATCTTGGAAGAGTCTGCCCCCGTGGCACTGCCTGAGTCACTGTTAGAGAGAGAGAGAGAGCGAGACAGACAGACAGACAGACTTGTTTGAAAGTAGCTAATACCCTGCTGCATCACTCTGTATTGGGACTGCTTTGCCAATTCATGGCAGAATTGCTTCCTTTGCCCTAAGGCAGTGGCTGATTGAACATAAAATGGGCCAGAACAGGTACTCATGCAGGGAAGCCGAAGGCAACCTCTTTTTTCCAAGGGTATGCGGGGTGGTTCATTTGGAATCTGCAGCATCAGATCCACCTCAGGAGAAACCATCCCGGTTGCGGGGGGAAAGCAGCCCCTTTGAAATCAGTCATGCGAGCAAACGGCCACCACCACGATCCACTTCAAAGTCCTGGAGGAGGATGCAGAATCATCTCCCACCCTGGGCAGCCAGAGTGCTGGCCTAGTTCGAAGTCCTGAACTTCCAGCCAGCCGCAAGCAAAGACGCCTTTGCCCCTTTCATGTCTGGAAATGTTTTCTTGAGTTTGTAATCCTTGTCCCTTTTGTGTTTTGCAGACAAACCGGTGAACTACTTCCCACAGCCTCAGGATGGTGAGTTACAAAAGGTTCCAATTGTATTCTTGACGCTGGACTTTTCATCACTTGAAAGCTAATCTCACAAGCCCTGACAGTCGATGCTTCTGGCGTGGGCTCCCCGCCCTGCACAGCCCCCTGTGATCTGTTTGACGACCTTGATTCCCCAGCCACCGTGGCTCCTGCTGCATCAGGGCTCCCAATCGGACACTGATTTCTCAGCCAGAGGGAAATGCTTTCCCGGCAGGAATAATCAAATAACAACCCCCATACTTCTGTGCACCTCTGCCATTTCCCCACAGAGCTGGCCTTGGGCTAGACGTTACAGAGTCCCCCAAGTTGCAAATGTTCAGTTGTTCCCAGCCTGACCTACCTCACAGGGTTACTGTGAGTATCAAGGGCGGAGAGGATTCTGTGTGTTACTGTAAATTGCTTGGAGGAGGGCGGAATCTTAAGCAAATTTGTTTTTCTTTTAATTCCGTTGGGGGGCAATCTTCTGGCTGGAAGAGATTGCCAGGGTAACCGTGGGAAAGGCCGGATTCCTGGCTGCGACCGGGACGTCCTTCCGCCCTCGCAGCCAGCCTGGTTGTCTCTGCACCTGCTGGCAGGCACTGGGGGACACCCGGGGCAGGGAGGGGACACCAAGGGGATGGAAAAGGGTTGCCCAAATATCCTGTCGGGCGTGGGGAGTGCCGAGGCCGTCCTTGTCACCGTGCTCCTGAGTCCGGAGGGGTTTGGATCAGGGTGTTCCGAATGAAACAAAACGGAACGAAAAACTCCACCAGCTTCTTTTTTTTAATGCCAGTCCTTCCGGTGACTCTTCTCTCTTCCATCCATATGATCGCTGTGTTTTTGTTTTACCTTGGCACCCGTTTTGTTAGTTCAGTTCATAACATACCCTTTAAACCGACGGGAGGAATCCTTGGCTCTCTGCCCCTGCCCCTGCCCCCCCCCCCCCCCCTCCGCTTCCCCGCAAGGCCAGCGTTCTCTCCCCCCGCATCTCCCGGCTCCTCTTGATGGAATTCTAGTCATGCGAGCAGCTGTGTGAGTAGTTTGAAGAGCAGCGACAAGGGCCACTCCACGCGTTGCCGATTACGGCTTTCCGTTGTCTCGTGTGCGGAGCCCACGTGCACGGGGGCTTGGCCGTGTGGCGGGAGCCATGCGCCGGGCACGACAGTGCGGTGGGTGCGCTCAGGCCCCGTGATGGGGGAGGCTGGCCAAGAAGGAGCTGGGGAGGGCTGCCCCCTAAAGGGGGCCTGCCCAGCTGATGTGTTTCTGCATCCTGTCATTTTTGCATCTTGGCAGCAGAGTGGGCGGGGCCAGAATGGAGTGCTGATGGGGAAGTGGGTGGAGCCAGAATGGGATCTTGGCAGGAGAGTGGGCGGAGTCAGAATGGAGTGTTGATGGGGAAGTGGGTGGAGCCAGAATGGGATCTTGGCAGGAGAGTGGGCGGAGTCAGAATGGAGTGTTGATGGGGAAGTGGGTGGAGCCAGAACGGGATCTTGGCAGGAGAGTGGGTGGAGCCAGCATGGGATCTTGGCAGGAGAGTGGGTGGAGCCAGAATGGAGTGTTGATGGGGAAGTGGGTGGAGCCAGCATGGGATCTTGGCAGGGGTGTGATCTGAACTGGAATGGACTCTTTGCGGATAAGGAAGAATTTCTGACTTTCTTATTCAGCTACTTGTAATATTCCTTTTAAAATTCTGTAGCCCAGTGAGGTGAAGGGGTGTGTGTGTGTGTTCGAGAGAGAGCGAGAAATCCTGACTCAGTTCTGTGCTTGGCTTTCCAGCCAGCTCATCCATATATGTATATCTAAATATATATTTCATTTAAATTCACCACCTCTGCCAATGTAAACCTCCCTTGTACAGATAATGTACTGGACCCCTAGCAGGCTGTGTTTTTGCATTCATATAGCTCTCTCTAATATCAGGATACATATATGCGGCCCTAGAAAATTGCATCCACCTGCCCACTGAACTGGCAAGACATTGTTAATGGGTTCCGCGTGTTCCCCTTCAAGAAAGGGGATTGGCATCACTTTGGAGTTTTCTCAGCCCTTGTCGAAATTATATGTTGTCTCTGTGTTTTGAAACCAACAGGCATTGAGAGGACTTGTCATAATTGACAGAGTGGGGGAAGCAGTGGTGATGGGCTTAGAACTGCAAAGCATTTTACCCCGAATTTTGCAGTAGAGGCAGTGAGAGAACCAGTCATTCTTGCAGGAGGCTGCATGGGGGGCGGAGGGTGCTGTAAGCACTTGAACATGTTTTGGACTCGGATATTGTGCTTTGGGTTTGGACTCTGTTCAGGCAACCAACTTGGAAGGCCCAAGCATAATTCAGAGTTGGTCTTATCTGCAGCGCGCTCTCAGTGAGACCTTAGATCTGAGCTATCGAACAATTCCAGTTTAGCAAGGTGCGCCTTCACCTGTTTGGAGAGGTCTTTGAAAGCTTAGCTCTGCTTTGTTCTGGCAGCTCAGGCTTTGCAAGGCACAGAACGGTCCAAGAACACTTTCTCATGCGTGGTTGCAAACAGATCTGCTTTTGTGGCACAGTGTTTCTTTGCTTTTTTCCAGCCAGTTTACTTCCCAGACCGCTTAAAACTGCCAAAGGGCACTGCTGATGAAGTTGAAACTGATGCAGACAAAGCCAAACTGACAGGACTTCAGAGTGGGAGGGAGAGGTTTGGGTGAGGCAGGGCGCTTGGTGCAGGTGCCAAGGAATGAAACCTGGAACCCCCGAATGGAACTTGGCAGGTTATGGAACATGTGCAAATTATGGGAAGAACGGTTGGGAATTTGGATTCCACTGACTTTTCAGGCCCTACTATTCATTACATGCTATAATGCAGTTGTTTTTCAGACAGATAAGATACATGCTGGTTGGCAACCTTCCGCATATGCAGTTTGTTTTCTGTCTCCCACCCCCTGCTTCAAAACATGCTTGTGATCAAAATAGTTCTAAGAAAGAGCAGCCAATTAATGGCTTGTTGATTTCATTTTCTTTCTTTCCTCCTTTTTTTTTTGTCAAGAGTAGGAGAGCAGCAAATGCTTGACAACGACAATGATGAAGATAGTAATGTGATTAATCTATAATTGGACAAAGGGTGTCTTGTTTAAAAATAAAGATGAATGTAGGTGTAGCTCGCATATCTTCATGCTGTGAAATATTAATATTCCAAACCCATCCAAATGACATGCTCCTTTTTTAAAAAAAAAGTGGGGGTGGGGAAGCACCTGGTTTAATTTACTAAGTATATCCCCTTCCTCTGAAGGAGTCTGTAGGATATTCTGTGAAGGGGGTTACATGGTCCCCCTCCTTTCCATTTTATCTTTACAACAACCCTGCAAGGTAGGCTAGGCTGAGAGTCCGTTCTGGCCCAAAGTCACCCAGTGAGCGTCATGGATGATTTGAAACTAGAACCGAGACCTCTGGAGTCCCAGTCCAACACTCTAATTGCTGTACCACCCTGAGCACAGTTGCTTCCTGTGGAGAAATGCCCTTTAAATTTAGGACTGTGTCTGGAAGGGTACTTTCACGATCCATTTTCTTCACCTTGCCTCTGCCCACGTGTGCTATTTCTAATTTGAATGAACTAGTTACTCCCAAGTAGGCAGAAAAGTTCCCAGGGCTCCCAGCATTCTGGCTGGGGCATGCTGGGATTATTTTTCTGACTTGGTATAGGACTGTGCCCAAAGCCTTCAGCACAAGCCGTATTCTGCCTGCACCTGCCTCAGATGACTGCCACCAAGCACGATGGCAAGAAACTCAGGTTTCTTTTGTTTCTCATATTTAAAAGCCAAGATTTCTGGGGAGGCAGATTCTGCACCGAATCACCCCTTCTCCCCCAGCGGGTGCAAAATACCATGACGATGGTGGCACCTAAGATGAAGGGCCCACTGCACTTTTTAGCCAGCCCTTTGGAAAAGGAAAGAGTTTTGCCTCTGGGTTGGATGCGTGTTGCTTTGTAGGGAACATCTGAGCTTTTGTGGGGGCCCTTTCATCCCTCCGGCTTGCCATGTGCTTGGAATCGTTCGCGTCACCTGAACAAAAAGCGGGGCCAGTGGGACACGAGGGTTTCCATTCCCACCCTCGCTTTCCTTTTTTCATGTAACCAAGGGCAACGAGGTACAATACTGGTTTGAAATACTTTTATAACTGCTAGCAGTGCTTCTTTTACCTCCTCCCCACAAAAAAAAAAAAGGAAGAAAGAAAAATATAAAAGAGAGATGAGCAAAACCAAAGAGAGCAAATTGTCAATGACATATGGAAGAACCCAGATCTTCCCAAGTTTTGTCTGTGATCATCACAGTTTATACTCCTGCTCTTCTTCCTCTTCCTCATGTGCGTCCTGCTTTTTTCCTCTTGCAAGGAACCGAAAGCAACTTAAAAGCTCTCTTCCCCCTTGGTTTTATCCTCACAGCAACCCTTTGAGGTAGGCTAGGCTAGGCAGAGGGACCGGCCCTAAAGTCTCCCAGCGAGCTACGCCACTGAGTGGGCATCTGGCGCCCAGACCTCCCGAGTCCCGGTCCAGCCATTTACCTGTGACGTTGCACTGGCTGAAACGATCTAGCCTGTTCTTCATGTCACTCTAAAAGCGGACGAGCTGATCCCCTGTGCCACTGATGGACGGCCTCATCTGTGAGGAGCTCTGCGAGGATTTTAAAAGGCCTGAGGGTCCCCTCCCTCCCTCCCTCTCTGGCTCTCATGCACTCCCCCCCGCCCCTCCCGACTTGGCACTCTCTTTAAATGAGGAATGAGCTGAGCTCGAGAAATATGGGTCACGCACAGCCGTCTTTGTCACGGCTGCTCCGCGAGGGACGGAAGGAACTCTCCTGGGGTCCCCAGTGCCTTCTGTAATCGTGCCCTCGAGCTGTGGGCCTCCGGGGCAGAACAGATTCAGGAGGGAGAAGCAGTTGGTGGAAGGAGAAGGCTGCCGCCAGGCCCAGCAGAATCGGGCCAGGATTGGGGGGGTGGGGGGAGAGGCGCTGCAGTCAATCCATCAGCCTGTGTTCTT